GTTGCAAATTTTGCTGCTTATGCATTTGCACCAGCTTCGTTGGTTACACCATTGGGAGCACTTAGTGTTTTAATATCTGCAATATTAGCATCAAAATATCTAAATGAAAAACTTAACTTGCTAGGAAAGGTAATGAAACAATATTACAAGTTGTTATTATTTGTAATAACAATAACCTAAATTAACATAGTCTCTATTGAATACATTGAATGAAGATAAATGTAATTATTATTATTATTCTAGATTGGTTGCCTTTTGTGCATCTTAGGTTCTACAATTCTTGTAATTCATGCTCCAAAAGAAGAAGAAATCACTACATTAAATGAACTTTTGGAGAAGGTCAAAGATCCAGGGTACATTATTTATATGTTAATTGTGATAATATGTAGTATTTTGATCATTTTTTACTTTGGTCCTGCTTATGGAAAACAAAATATCATAGTATATATTTGTTTATGTTCATTGATTGGTTCGTTGACTGTTACAAGTTGCAAAGGATTAGGATTAGCTTTAAAAGAAACCATTCTTGGATTTAACAATGGATTTACAAATTGGTTAATGTGGGTCTTTCTATTTAGTGCTATAATCTGTATCAGCATACAGATGAATTATTTGAATAGATCACTTGATTTATTTGAAACCACAATTGTAACACCTATTTATTATGTATTTTTCACAACATTAGTAATAATTGCATCTGCAATATTATTTAGAGAATGGGAAAATATGAGCACTGAGGACATCTTAGGTTCATCTTGCGGTTTTTTAACAATTATAATTGCAATATTTCTGCTAAATGCATTCAAAGAAATGGATTTATCTTATGAAAATATCAGACATATGTTGCAACCTAAAAGAAAATTGTTTATAAGTAATAACAATCAATGGAGTGATAGGGATGAAGAGAGATTAATAACAAGATTAGAAACAGAATTAAATCACACGTACGGAGCCCAAACTCTAACAAGAAGTATATAAATTTGATTCTATAATTATATGTGTATTATAATGTATATATGAGTTACTTATAAAATAAATGTTATAAATTTTAAATTACTTGTATCTTTTACATGTATAGATTTTATGGAAATAAATTTTTTAATAAATTTTACTTTTTTATTTATATTTTCCATAAAGTTTCGAAAAAGCATTTAAACTCGCTTTTTTTTTATCTTACGTTTAAATACTTTTTCAATATTTAGATTTAAAAACAAAAGATATAAACGTTGCTAAAACTACATAAAAATAATTGGAGAATTTCTTGAAAGTTACTAAAGAAAATTAATGTATTATATCATATCAATATATTATGTAGTAAAGAAAATTTTAAATAATCTCTATTATTAATTTCAATTATGTTTGTAAAACTGCACTGTGATCGTGACATTAATCTTCAAGTTGCATTCCACCTATACAATCTATAAACGGTGAAAACATTCCGCAATGGCAACATACCGGCTGCATCACATCAAGAAATGTGAAAATAAAACAAGTAATATAAGAAATATGTTATATTATATGTATATTTATTCGAAATGCAATTCTTCATTTATAAGTCAATTTATATCTCTTGAATCAACTTAATACTAGCATCACGAACAGTTATTACAATGGCGTTCAGTTTAGCCGCTTTTTCATATATTGTGGCCTTAATTATAGATGCTTTTTTAATAATATTTGCAATATTTCACGTATGTACGACTTGAAACCTATGGCAATTTTTTTTTTTTAATGAAACAGCAATTAAAAACTTATACACAACTTATTTTATGCGAATTATTTCTAACCTCAGTGATGTAGGTTCAAAGTTCAATGATTCTAATGACACTATTTTTCAGGTAATTGCATTTGATGAATTAAAAACTGGCTATAAAAATCCGATAGAACAATGCAATAGTTTAAACTCGGTAAGACTTTGAAATTATTTTTTTATAATATTTCTACAAAATCAATAATTATAAGTGTAACTAAGATTTAACTTATATACATATATCTGTATATTTCAGCTAGTTATTCCAGAATATGGACTACATATTTTAATCAACATTTTATTTTTAATTAGTGGTCAATGGTTTTCATTGCTTCTAAATATTCCATTAATAATGTATCATTTATGGCAATATTATCATAGACCTATCATGTCTAAGCCAGGTCTTTATGATCCCACTAATATAATGAGTGCTCAAGCTCTTAAAATTCATCAAAGAGAAGGATGGAGTAAACTTACATTTTATCTTTTATCATTTTTCTATTACTTATATGGGTAAGTTTTATAAAATAGGAATTAGTAATTTAATGAATTATGAAATTTTTATTGTAAATAAATGTAATATATTTTATTTTGTTTCAGTATGATTAGTTCATTGATTCACTGAGGGATAGGAAACATTCTTTATTATTTATCATCAAACATCAACAAATACATTTATAATATATCTTTAATGCTTCACCAGGGTTATTTTTTTGTTGAAGAGATTTCTAACTTGTTAAACATATTATAATTTTTGTAAAAATAAAATTTCTTACTCAAATAATGATATTTTTTGTTTTATTAGTTTTTTAATTATACAATAATTATTACAACAGTTATTTATAAACTTACTTTATATACATGGCATGTATGTGATGTTTGCATGAATATTTAATTATATACAACAAAAATCGGAATTTTTTTACTTCTCTTATTACTTGTTTCATTTTGAAAATTTATAAACTTTAATATTAATTTAATATTAATTTATTTATAATATTAATTTATTCAATTTGTATCTACAGATTTGCAAAGAAAATACATGTACTAGATAAAGGAATGCTTAACCTTATTTTATAATACCTACAATGCTGCTCCCTATTTAGATAAGTTGATTCTAACCTTAAATTCTTGCATGAAATAAAAAATAATCGGTTAGAGTAACATTTTTCATTTTAAATACTTAGAACTCACAAAAGTTTCCATTAATCTATTGCATTAACATCAAGAGTGCGTATTGTATAAAAATGCCGACTATTAATGTTAAGCGTGACTTATTGTTTAAAACTCTTGGTAAAACATATTGTAAGTTTCAAATATTTAAATGATAAATTCATGACAAATTTCAAGTTGCATTGACTCGCTTCTCATTTATAATTATCTTAAATAAATATTTACTAATATTTTTAAATAAATTAATTTATATGATTTTAGCGGATACCGAATTTCAAAATTTATGTTTTGATTTTGGCTTAGAATTGGACGAAGTGGTATGAAAATCATATATTACTAAAGAATTGAGTGTATTAATATGTACAAAAATTATCATATATTTTAGTACCTACAATGTCAAAAACAATTTTAGAAATAATTTTGAATAATTTTGATTTTTAGACAACAGAGAAACAAATGATAATAAACGAGCAAAATTTAAATTATAGCACAGAAATATCAGAAGAAGTTATATATAAAATTGATATACCTGCAAATAGATATGATTTACTATGTTTGGAAGGTTTAGCTCCAGCACTTCTTATATTTTTAAATCAGTATGTATGATTTATGTTTTCTTTTATTAAGTTTTTTTTTCTTATTTTGCAAGTTATATTGAAATCATGCTATTACTTTAATAATTTCATTAATGGTTTATTGCCATACAGTGGCAGAATATATTATTGATAATAAATTAAATACATAATTTAGATTTATTGAAATTAAGGAATTTTTTAAATATAGAATAGATATACCTCGATATACAACAATATTTCCAAGTGTAAATAGACAGAAGATTATAATGACAAAGCAAGTATGTATGATCTTTATTATTATTGATGTTGTTTTAATTGAAGATTAACAAACAAAATTGAAAAATTTCTTAGTTCAATTTTTAATAAAGCAATTATATTAATTTATATTTTACAATTATAGTGTATGAAAGTCAGAGGGCATATTGTTGCGGCTGTTTTACGTGATATTACATTTACAAAGGATTCTTATAATAGCTTCATTGACCTTCAAGAAAAATTGCATCAAAATATAGGCAGAAAAAGAACCTTAATATCAATTGGAACTCATGATCTAGATACTGTTAAAGGTCCATTTTTATATGATGCAAGACCACCAACTAATATTTATTTTAAACCACTTAATCAAGATAAAGAATACACAGCGGAAGAAATTATGAATTTATATAATGTGGGTGTTTTTACAATTTTAAAATGGATTTTATTTTGAAGAAAGTTTGTTAAATTTTTTTTTAGAACCACAAATTACCACAAATTACAAAGTATGTTAAATTTTTTTTAGAACCACACACAATTAAAGCAATATTTGCATATTATAAAGGACAGTCCAGTTTATCCTATAGTAGAAGACAGTAATGGAGTTGTTTTATCTCTACCACCTATTATTAATGGAAATCATTCAAAAATTACACTCAGTACTAAAAATATATTAATTGAATGTACTGCAACAGATTTAACAAAGGTACATGAAAGTAATTTTTCATTTATATGTATAAGGAATAAATGAATTAATCACAGAATTTTGGAAATCTGTAGGCAAAAATAGCATTGGATACTATAGTTTGTGCTTTTAGTCAATATTGTAAAATAAAATATACAATAGAAATGGTGGAAATCGTGTATCCTGATAAACAAGTATTTCATTATCCAGATTTGAAATATCGAATTGAGGAAATTGATTGTGAAAAAGCAACAAAATACATTGGTATAAAACAAACTGCAAAAGAGGTAGCTAATTTACTTTCTAGAATGTCTTTGAAAACATCTGTTAGAGACAATAACAAATTGAACATTGAGGTGCCTCCCACAAGACATGATGTAATACATACGTGTGATATTTATGAAGATATTGCTATAGCATATGGATATAATAAAATTCAGAAAACTATACCATATTTATCGACTATCGCAGAAGAGGTAATGGTGAATATTATGGTTGTTTTCTAAGTTTATAAAGTTTTAACAAAACATTATCTATTTATATTTATATTTTAAAATTTAGTTTCCGTTGAATAAATTATCTGATCAATTACGAATAGAGTTGGCTTGTGCTGGATTCACAGAAGCATTAACTTTTTCATTGGTATGCGAAATTTTTAACAACAGTGATACAAATTATATGAACTAATTATAGTAAAGTCAATACTTCCTTCTTATAGTGCTCTCGCGAAGATGTCGCGGATAAATTAGGTCAGGAATTGTTAAACATACCAGTTGTCCATATATCAAATCCAAAAACATTGGAATTTCAGGCATGTACAAAGATTTTATCAAGATTTTAAATTCAAATTCATTCAAAAGACAAATTAACAATATGACAATGTTATAGATTGCACGTACTACTTTAATACCAGGATTATTGAAAACTTTAGCTGCAAATAAAAAGATGCCACTTCCCCATAAATTATTCGAAGTTTCTGATATTATATTAAAAGATGACAACGTGGAAGTTGGTGCGCGTAATAATCGACATTTATGTGCGATATATTGTAATACATTTGATGGTTTTGAAATAATCCATGGCTTATTGGATAGAATGTTACAAATATTAGAAATACCTTGGAGTAGCAATAAAAATAAAAATGGATATTATCTTCGTGCTGTAGATGGTAATGTCTATTGTGTGAAAAATTATATAAGATTATACATATATAAGAGAATGTAATTTATTTGTAATTTTCTTTTTAATGAATTACATTTATTTTTTATTGTAAGTTTATATAATCTTTTTCAGATCCTACTTTCTTTCCTCATCGTTGTGCGGAAATATTATGTTATGGCAAAGTGATTGGAAAGATGGGAATTTTACATCCAGATGTAGTTTCAAGATTTGAACTAAATACACCTTGTTCTGTGTTAGAAATGAACATCGAATGCTTTTTATAACATTTATTATAATACTTATTGTTGACAATATATTGAAATAAATCATACATTTTTCCTATTATTATTTTATTATTAAATAACCAACTTAAAAGTGTAAATGATATGGCAAATATAAGCATTAAATATCGCGTTAAATAGACAGGATTAAATTTAATTAAATTTAAACGCGATTTTAAAAATTGTGTTTTCTTTTTTTAATTCATATTCGTAGATGCTGTATTTTGTGTTTATGCGTTTTGTTTATTGTAACTATATAAACAAGTATAAATGTCAGTAAATATTTAAAGAAGAAAAAGCAAAAATACGAAGCAGAAAGAGTGCTAATAAAAGGAGAAATCAAAATTACCCGCCATGGGAAACGAGAGATGGCATATCGAATCGTATGCAATGATATAGATGGTCGAAGAGGCATCCGGGAGACTCGGTGTCAGCCATAGTAGAAATGGCGGGTGTTAGCTTACGTGAATGACGGCGATCGTGCTCGAGATTATCATCGAAAAGCAAGTGTTCTGTGTGTGTTTCACGACACGGGAACGATACCTTAGTATCATATGATTCATCTGGAAGGTAAAGATGCAGAATGTAGCACAAGGAACAACCTCGGATAGTCAGAAGCACGAGAAATCAGCAAGCGTTCACCACGACATTGGAAAGACGTCGTCGACTCCCCAGTCTTCGAATTCCAGCCCTACCAAGTCAGAGACCGAAACCTTCTCCGAACTGCAGCCACGCTTTATGGCAGACTCGTCGGAGAGCGAAGAGGACAGTGTTTCAGAGGTAAACCGAGTCAAAAAAACATGCCACATCGTGAATAAGGTATTCTTGCAATCAGAAGTTGAACGCACGCATGTACGTATGCACGCACACGCATGAATTCGTCTGTCGCTCTGTCGTCCATCCAGTTACCGCCCCCTCTACACCCTCCTACCCGTCTTCTTTCCTCTTGTTCTCCTTTCTTACATATTTGCTCTCGCTCTTACCTGTTCTCTTCTTCTTTCTCTTTCTGTATGTGTATATATTACATATATATATTCTCTATACATATACATACACGTATATATGTATATTAGTATATACAAATATATATATACTTTATACCTATCTATATACGTCATAGGTATATATATGCGTATATACATGTACGCACACGTCAGCTTTTCATGAAATTTATTCGAATCAGTGTTAATCTTGTTTGACATTTCCCAACTTTATTGTAATATCATCTAGCATAATCCATTCTCCATGATATATACGTCCGAAAAGGCAGCTGCACCAAAGAATCATCGATTAAGTGTGTAACGTTCCAACATCGGTACATGTGCTCGATCTTGTATTTTTGCGTGTTTTCCATTTGACTGAGCTGAGTAATTCAATAATAAATTTGGAAAGGAAACTTGGTTTGAGGATAAGATTGGCTAGAAATTAATAGAATTATAACCTAAAACGCGTGTCGTATGAAAAACAGCATAAAACTATCGTTTCGTATCGTATCGTATCGTATCGTATCGTATCGCATCGCATCGCATCGCATCGCATCGTAGCATATCGTATCGTATCGTATTGTTTCGTATCACATCGTATTGTATCGTATTGTCTAGTATCTTGCAGTTTGCTTAATGTAACTAGGTAACTAAACGTTGATGAACAATTTAGAAAATGAAAAATGATAATCAGAACGATAACGTAATGATGGCTTGATATCTTTTTTTTTCTGGAAAATTTAAATTTGGTTCTAAGCGTAAAATGCTCGCAAGAGAATCGTTAAGCGAACCCTACGTACGAAAACGATTTCTAGAGAGATTTTTCAACGGAAAAAAGTAAGGAAGAAGAGGAAGAAAGAACGAGAAAGGGAATTTGCGCCAGGGATGTTATATAATCAAAATATATGCGTATGATGGCTAATAAAAATGTTATGGTGTATCACGGTGTGAAAAAAAAACAATTGACAATTGTTCGTGATTTTTATTAAAAAATATAGTTATCTTTCTAGATTTCAATCCATCTCGGTGATCTCTATCTTCCGTAGATTGTGCCATAGAGATATTTATTAGTCGATCGAATCATCTCAACGTTAGATGAGAAATTGTACACAAAGATACATCGTAACACAGGGTAGAGTAATTAAAATATTTGTACGACATTTATTTTGTTTTTATAATCCGATGAAGTCACTTTATGAAAGGTATATGTGCAAATGATGAATAAAGCATTCCGGTTAACTGCACTGCATAATCAAGCGCGTGCGCACGCACGTGTACGTTCATGTATATGTTTATACAAGCAGACGTCATGCATGTAGACCACTGGTCTGGATATGTATAGCGTAGAGATGTATAGAGGTAGACTTTTCATTGAACTAGTGATCTTGCATGTAGTGTATATGTCGGGCCGCGCGAGTCCTTCGTACATGCCTGTTTTCTATATAGATAAGTGTATGTGTGTAGCTATTTTACGTCCGCTTGCACTACGTTGTGCGCCACCCAGCGGAGGTCTCTTCGGCCGCGTTTCTCGCGTATTCGTGCGAGCTCGTGAGCCTGTTTGTCTGCTTGTGGCTGTCTCTTCGCCTCCTCTATACGTCTATAGGTGTATTCTTACCTTATTGTAACACTTTACTCTTTCTGTTACACTGTCAACGAGGTTTCAGCTCTTATCCTTGCCTCTGTTCCTGCCGGCTACTCGTCGGCTAACTCTTCTCCTGTGTCGCTCGTGTTCGTGGCGTGGAAATTATAGAGAGCAGAGAGAGCCACCATATTATTCTATATTCTACCAACAGCGGTTCTTACACGAAGTTCTTTTCTCTTTTTTTTTTCTTCACGAACATTTTTTCCTGACGAACAATTGCAATTGGTTAGTACGACGTGTGACTCGCACGATCAGTGAATACGCGACTCGTACTGCTGTTTTCTCTCTTCACTTCGATTTCGATAAAACAAAACGGGACGCGTTCACTACGCACGCAGAGAATATACCAAGGAAGTGTCAGTTTCGTCCTTCTTGGAATGGCTGCACATTGTTCTTATGCCTCTGTGTTCACTGGCAAGCCGTTTTAATCACACGCAGAAGATAAAATACTTTCACCTACATTCTGATTTGCGTTTATGTCTCATTCGTTTCCACTCGTCGCGCAAGAGGATATGACCTCTACGCGAGATGTACGTACTATAATTTAGATCGTCTACGAATTATCCTTTTCTTCCTCTTCTTTTTTCTCTCCTTTTTTTTTTTTGCAAGTAAAACTTTTGGTTGGAAGCAATTGAATTTCATCCGAAATTCTCCTACACATTGCAAGGATACTGCTTTTTTTAATTTATATAATCTTTTTACTATCAGTGTGATTTTTACTCTATTCTTCTCTATTCACATTTTTCCTCCATGTTTGAGTAATATTTTCTTCACAATTTATTTGTTTTATCTAATTTGTTTGAATGTTTTTCCTACAATTTTTGTACAATTTCTCCTCTGTTTTTTATCGTTTTTCTCCTTTCTCTTTTTTCTTGTTTTATTTCTGTATTTAGTAAGAGGGTATTTATTTGTTGTACAATAACCTCAATTACTATTGCTCTTGCATGTTTTCAAGAAATCTGCAACTATAAATGTTTCTTATACAAACTTGTTAATTCCTTACAATGATAAAATATAAGATTAAAGTCTGTTTAATTTAATAAATTTATTTTAGGCTTTAATTGTAACTTAATTAAAACAACTTAAAACAAATTATCATTTTTGTTAGAGAAATATGACTCAGCAATCTTTCAATTTCTATAGTTGTTTTGTCTCCTTTGTCAAAATTGACAAATCAAATGATAGTAAGTAATTTATAGCAAAATGATAGCAAAATTAACAAATCAAATGATAGTAAATAATTCCAGTAAGTAATTTTCTAAATAGTTTCCATGTAGTTGATTTGTTATGCATTCAAGTACAAAATAAATAGAAAATATAGATTGTTTAATGTTTATAATAATTGTACTATATTATTTTTGTGCCTAACACTTCTTATCACTTTAATGAGTTTCTAAGCAAACTTAAATAAAAAAGCAAAAAGTAATTGGGTTATATTGTATGTATTATTATGATACATTTTTACATAATTAAATATATACATAATTAAAAACAGGCAATATCTTTGCTGCAATATAGTTACGTATTTATTTTTTATTTATTAATGTATTTGATATATTTTATGATGTATGTCAAATGAAAGTTCACTACTGCTACTTTATGTCTTGATTGTTAGGTTTAAATTATTAATACATTGGTTAATTTTATTGGGGAAAATATTATCATGTTTTACTTACAGGTGGAGTGTTTCGCAATTGATCAGGTTGAATTAGACGAAGGCCATCATTTAGAATCATCCAAGCTTCTGTTAACTTCAGAAGATCCAGAGAGATCTGTGGATCCTGAAACTCAGGCTCGATTAGAATCATTGTTGGAAGTAGCTGGTATTGGCAAGTTGTCATCAGGCGATGGGAAGCACTTGCCTGATCACGAAGTGCTCCGTCGCATAACATCTAGTGTTTCTTGTGCATTAGATGAAGCAGCAGCTGCATTGACTCGTATGCGCAGCGATAATCCACGCACACAAAACGAAAAGCGCTCTCTTGTAGAGGCTTGCACTGACGGGGACGTAGGTACTGTTAGAAAATTATTAACAGAAGGACGCAGTGTTCACGAGACTACAGAGGAGGGAGAGAGTTTGCTCTCTCTCGCCTGTTCAGCTGGATATTACGAACTTGCTCAGGTTTGAATTTTATATGATCATTTATTTGTGTTGTGAGCGTGACTGTTTGTGCATGTAAATCAGTGAGTAAGTGTACCAGTGAATGAAAGAGACAAAAATTTTTCGAAAATATTCTATTCTAATTTCTCTGTAATTTCTATTGTACTTTTTCTGTGTAAATATACTTGTATTTACATATACAAGTGTAGTGTTGTCAATATTGCTGATGTTGAAAATAATCTTTATAGTTTGTTTTTTTTCTTTTAATGCAGAAGAACATTTAAAATTAAACCAAGATAGAATTTAATAAGAAACTTAGTTAAAGTAATTAGGACACACTAAAATGTTGTTTGGTATATTTGTATAATTTTTTTGTTATAATTTCTGTACAAAAATAAAGTGAAGTATATATTTTTGATTGTGTTGTGTTCATGTTGCATAAAATGTGTTTGTTTGATTTTATTTATTTTATTTTATTTGATTAATTTCTTTATGAGCAGGTACTTTTGGCAATGAGTGCAAACGTAGAGGATCGTGGCATAAAGGGGGATTGTACCCCTTTAATGGAGGCTGCCAGTGCAGGGCATGTAGATGTTGTAAGCTTGCTCATTGCTCATGGAGCTGATGTTAATGCTCAATCTACTTCAGGTATTCAATGTTGTCATAATATTTATAATTTATTGTTGGTATAGTTTGAAAAGTTTCAAAAAAACATATGCATAGAATATCTTTTACATATATAGTAATAGATAAATCAGATTAATTATATTGTTAGGTAATACACCTCTTATGTATGGCTGTGCGGGTGGTCATGAGGAGGTAGTGCGAGTATTATTAGAAGCAGGTGCCAATGTTGAAGATCACAATGAAAATGGTCATACACCTTTAATGGAAGCGGCTAGTGCTGGACATGTTCCAGTAGCAAAGATCTTGCTGGAACATGGCGCTGGAATTAATACTCATTCCAATGAATTTAAAGAATCCGCGTTAACACTGGCTTGTTACAAAGGTCATTTGGAAATGGTTCGCTTCTTATTAGAAGCTGGCGCAGATCAGGTACTTATTCATCACATTAGTTTTTTGCTTTACGAGATCATATATTTCAGATTGAATCATTTCATTTTATAGGAGCACAAAACTGATGAAATGCACACTGCCCTTATGGAAGCATCAATGGATGGTCATGTAGAAGTAGCTCGTTTACTATTAGATTCGGGTGCACAGGTGAACATGCCAACGGATAGTTTTGAATCTCCATTAACATTGGCTGCTTGTGGAGGTCACGTTGATCTTGCTATGCTCTTGATCGAACGAGGAGCTAATATCGAAGAAGTAAATGATGAAGGTTATACCCCGTTAATGGAAGCAGCACGTGAAGGTCATGAAGAAATGGTTGCATTGCTTTTGAGCCAAGGTACATCACAATTTTTATTTATTACATCAAACAAGGAATAATTATTTAAAGAATTTTTTCGAAAATAGTAAAATTTGTCTTCTCATATAGGAGCAAACATCAATGCTCAAACTGAGGAAACTCAAGAAACAGCACTTACCTTGGCCTGTTGCGGTGGCTTTTTAGAAGTTGCTGATTTCCTAATTAAAGCAGGAGCTGACATTGAATTGGGTGCTTCTACTCCTTTGATGGAAGCTGCGCAAGAAGGTCATTTAGAACTCGTTCGTTATTTACTTGAATCTGCGGCAGATGTTCATGCTCAAACGCAAACGGGAGATACTGCATTAACTTATGCTTGTGAAAATGGTCATACCGATGTTGCGGATCTCTTACTTCAGTTTGGTGCTAATTTGGTACATTTTTTAAAAATGAAAATTATCTTGAGGAATGTATACTGATCAATTATTATGTTATCACTTATTCATTTATTTTTATGTATTATAGGAGCATCAATCAGAAGGAGGAAGAACACCGTTGATGAAGGCATGTAGAGCTGGCCATCTATGTACAGTTCAGTTTCTTATAACGAAACGTGCAGATGTTAATAGGCAAACATCGAATAACGATCATACTCCCCTCTCACTAGCTTGTGCTGGTGGACATCTTGCGGTTGTAGAACTTTTACTTGCACAGTCTGCTAATCCATTTCATAAACTGAAGGTATGCATCATATAACAATTGTTGTCAAGTTCTTTTGTAACAGTATTACAAAAAACTTAAATTTTGTTATAGGATAATTCTACGATGTTGATAGAAGCTGCGAAGGGTGGACATACTAGTGTAGTTCAACTTCTGTTGGATTACCCTCATAGTATTATGATGAGTACACCGCATAATGCAACACCTACACCTATGTTGCTTCCGCAACAACAACAGCAGCAGCAGCAGCAGCAACAACAGCAGCAACAGCAACAACAGCAACAGCAGCAGCAGCAGCAGCATATTACACATCAACAACATGTGCCCCATCAACAACATGCATCTACACAACCACAGTCATACCAACAACAGCAACAGCATGCTACAGATCAACCGCAAACGCAAACTCTTCAACCTAAACACAATACACAAAAATCGTTGTTAAGAAAAAATCGATCGGTAACCATGATGTCCGACATGAGTCTTACTTCTGCTGAGGCGCAACAAGTCCGTTCTCAGCCCGCAGGAGAATCAATTGTAACAACTAAAGACGATACCAATATTCTGGATAAAGGTAGTGGAGGATTTACTAATCTCTCAGAACCTAACATCAGCCTTAGCCCTGCTCCAGCGCCAACAGCGGGGTTAAATGTTTCTGACAGCCGAAAAAACACTCGACAAGAGCAAATTCTACATAAGCAACAAATTTTCGAAGAATTACAAGTATGTATTTAGTAATTTAAGCATAAACTTTCAATATTGTCAATATAATGTGTTATAAATATTTTTAGAGGGTAGAAAGAGAACTTCAAATTAAAGGTCCAGGACATTGGTTCTGTAGTGCAAAGAATCCTGTTGTAACTCAACAGCAACAACAGCAGCAAGAGGATTCTAATGAACCTGATACATTGTCATCAGGTATATATTTTGAACTCTTTTTCCAAACTTTTATGATTTCATTGTTCACGATTTTGTTGCGTGAAAGATTTCTAATAACGATTAACGTATTTTTGGTTGAAAGGTTTAGTTTGCAGTACAAGTGGCATGTCCGGAAATTCATTAAGTCATCAAGGCACCAGCCAGGCAATGTCATTGTATAACGCATTTCTCAGAGGGAAACGAATTGCACAAGAAGCTCAGTTATCTTTAGCTCCAACCATATCGGAAACTTTTCCCACGACAAATGCTTTTCCTACATCTCCACCTCTTTCCCTTGCGACAATACCTGTTACATCGTCCGTTCCATTAGTTACTTCAAATACATCCTCAACAACTACACCAAGTCCTCCAAGCATATCCACGCCTCCTACCGTTATGGCAGTTTCCCAACCCATTACTGCGAGTAGTGATGTTAGCCAAAATACTGCTATAAGCGATCGTCCGAAAGCGAAACCTGTCTCTAAAAAAGAAGGTAAAAATATCCGGAAAGCTTCGTCTAGTGTAATGGCTGGAAAGTTACAGCAACAGCAACAACAACAGCAACAGCAACAAGCTAATTTGATGGCTGGTCTTCAACAACAGTATCAGCAAAAACAACGACAACATACTTATCAAGTTCAACAGGTACATCAACTGCAGCAACTTAATCAACAATTGCAGTTACAGTTGGATCAAGTACAGGTTTGTTCTATTTTTATTTTTATTTCTTCCCTTTATTTATTTATGTTATTTTTTATCTTGTTTCTTCCTCTGTTTATTCTTTGCATTTTTCTTGCTATATTTTCTTGCTCTATTATACATTAAATTGTATATTATATCTGGTTAGGTACAGCAACAACAACAACAGCAATCACAACAGCAAGCTCAGCAGCAGCAGCAGCAGCAGCAGCAGCAGCACCAACAACAGCAGCCGCAACAACAACAATCGCAGTCACAGCAACAAACTGGTGTAGTTACTGCTAATGGAAATAACATACTTATGCCAACTCAATTAATGTCACATCTTCATCCTACGCATACCCATCATCTTCATGATCAGGTAATTATGAATTATTTCTTATACAAGGATATAGTATACAAGGGTGTGTACTCACACGCATGTGTGTATGTATGCATATGTATATAAAAATTACGTGCAGCAAACAACTCAACAAAATGTAACGGAGCAGGCAGATCCTGAATTAGCAAGATTACATCGAGATGGAGCTTGTCCCTTTGTTGCTGCTGCTCAAAAGGCAAAGGCTCTTTGTACAAGTGAAAGTGTTATAAAATTAGAGGATGGCACGCATATTCCTTTGGATGATGCTTTTGAAATTTTTCGATCTATTAGCTTTGACGATACTGTTGATGGTAAATATTTAAAAAAAAGTTTAGAAAAAAGTTCTTTTGGTCAGTTGTTCATAGTTATCTAATTGCATTATATTCTGATTAAATAGCTACAGAAGATCAAGAAAAACTTGAATTGAAAAGATTAGAAGTGACAAATGGTAAAGATTCTCAACAGCCGCAACAGCAGCAACAGCAACAGCAGCAGCAGCAGCAACAACAGCAGCAACAGCAGCAGCAACATTTACAAACTACACAAATAGTTCAACAAGCAAATAGTCCTTATACTTCTCAAGAGTATTTTACTAATCCTGTGTTACCAACTTTGCCTTCGCTTCAAGTAACTAGTGCTGGTGTTCAAATACAAGCTGATATATCAGCAGGTTTACAGTTAACTGGTACGCAATCTCTACAGAACCAATCATTTAAAGAGGGATATCTCGATAGTTTTCGAGCCCATTTTCAACCACAATTGTTACTACAATCCTCTCAGATAAGTAAGTTTTATAGTCAATCCCCGTTGTTCCTTTATCTTGTCCATTAAATTTAAAAATATATGACTATATATTAAGTTTTAACACGATAATATATTTGTTTGTAATTAGCATTTCCTACACAAGCTTTGCCAACTGTAAGCGAAGCAACAGGAATAATAGACAGTATATCCCATCAAACGAATAGTTATGCTCAGTCTACAACCTGTAATACTAATCAAGTTCAAGTGGCTACTCAAACTCAAGCACCAGCAGCAACAACAGCAGCAACTATCGTTGCTTCAGATAAAAAACAAGTTTATACAGCTCCAACGACCGGTAAAGGAAAAAAGGGAAGATATCCACTTTTATCTCAACAACCATCATGTCAACAACAACAAACTGCCAATACTCAACAGCAGACTCCTAATTTTCCCAGTCAAAATTATCAATTGGACCCAACGACAGGTACAAGATTTTTCTCTTATTAGTGTAGATACAATTTTTTTATTAATATAGATGTAAAAGAAAATGTGTAATTTTTTTATTGATGCAAATAAATATTAAATATAATCGTATCTAATTTTTTTATTTTGTTATTTAGTTGCTAGTCAATATACAACAGGTGTTCCAACGGTTGGTGGTTATCCTACTAGTCAAGTACCGCCTACACCATTCTCTTGTATGGACGTGGATTCTGAAACCGACAGTAATCATGATACAGCTTTGACATTGGCATGTGCCGGCGGCCATGAAGAGCTCGTTGAACTTTTGTTAAGTCGTGGTGCAGATATAGGTAATAAGCATAATATCATATAAAATACATTTAAAACGTTTCATTAATTTCATTGAATTATTTCATTAATACTTACACTAGTATTCTAATACTTCACTAATTTACAAATTTGTTTTACAGAGCATAGAGATAAAAAAGGATTTACTCCGCTTATATTGGCAGCAACAGCAGGTCATCAAAAAGTAGTAGAGATTCTTTTGAATCATGGAGCTGATATAGAAGCTCAATCTGAACGCACCAAGGATACACCTTTATCTCTTGCCTGCAGTGGTGGTAGATATGAAGTGGTAGAGCTTCTCCTTAATCGGGGTGCTAACAAGGAACATCGTAATGTTTCTGATTACACACCTTTGAGCCTTGCAGCATCTGGTGGATACGTTAACATAATAAAACTTCTCCTTAGTCATGGTGCTGAAATTAATTCTCGGACTGGTTCCAAATTAGGTATTTCTCCACTTATGCTTGCAGCTATGAATGGTCATGTTGGTACGTTTATTATAAAACAAAATTACGTTATTATAATAATATTAAATTTTGTATTATATCATATAAATATGTTCATAATCTTCTGTAGCGGCGGTGAAATTATTATTAGACATGGGCAGTGATATAAATGCTCAAATAGAGACTAATCGTAATACTGCGCTCACGTTGGCATGCTTTCAAGGAAGACACGAGGTTGTTAGTCTTCTTCTCGATCGAAAAGCTAACGTAGAACATCGAGCTAAGGTATAAACAAATGTGTATGTGTATGCGTGTGTATTTTCATCTCTCTCTTTCTTCCTTTCCCTCTTTTTTATATATTTCTGATCATTTGTTTAATACAATCGATATATAAAATATCTATTATGAAATGTACAATTGCGAAAATATATATTACATAAAGATATATAAATTTCATATGGTACAAAGTATTGAAAAGTTTCATGCATTTTTTGCTGTAAATCGGGAGAGTGTTTCTGCAACTTTCGTTTAAAGTTATTGTTGCCAAGTAAAATAAAAAGAAAATATATATATATATATATTATAAGAACATATATGTATATACAGGATGATTCTTAAATGCATGTCCATATTTTGAATGAGTTGAATGTTGAATGGTAATCTATTAAAATACGTAAAAAAAATATTATGTGAACCTATATCTTAGTTTTAATTCATTATCTAAAGTACGGATATGTATTTAAAAATAACCTTAATATATGTATATTAAGAAAGTGCATTAAAACTGAAAGTATAATCTTACATATTTCGCATGTATATAAAATTGATGGTTGATTTTAAATACTAAAAGTTGTTCGTCAAACCAAACCTTTTCACCAAATACGTCTGTATTAATATATGACAGTCATTTTGTATAATTTTAGTTTTATTTTTTTGCTTTCAAAGCTTTCTTAAGTGTTCATAAAAGTGCGATCATTGATTTCCTGTTTCCTATATAGAATATGGAATGTCGAATTAATACATAACTTTGAAATATTTTATTCAACATATATAAATGTATAATACAAATTTTGTAAAAATTTTATTTAGACCGGTTTAACACCATTAATGGAAGCGGCTAGTGGAGGATACGTCGAAGTTGGACGTGTTTTACTTACAAAAGGAGCGGATGTTAATGCTACTCCTGTTCCATCATCTCGTGATACTGCCCTCACCATTGCTGCTGATAAAGGACACTGCCGTTTTGTAGAATTATTATTGTCAAGGTAACATTTCTTCATTATCTTATTTTATACAATTTTGTATGTTTATTCTAAATGTTGATAACTATTTACCTCAGAGATTTCTCAGCTATTTTGATAATCTTGAATTATGTTATCATTATTCTGAACAACTTTTCTTTATATATGTTACAGCCGCTCGACTTTAATTTTCGAAATATTATACAAAAATATATTTTAACTTCACCGATTTTAATGATTTTTAGATTTATAATGAATGTTCGAAAATTATATGCTTAATTATTTAAAATTTCAGTCTCTACTAATTTTTTTGAATTGTTGTTAGCGACACTTTCTTTTCTGCATTCCCCAGGCAGTTGATTCATTAAAAATCATTTATTTTATGAACTATTTCAAAATCTTAAAGTGATTTTGATAAATGATAAAGTGACTTTTCTTACCTGAACCAATATTGATTTCTCAATCTTGAATTTTTGAAAAGAGGTCATTTTTGGAAGTGAGTTTTATTATATATATTTAATATATATTATAATTATAATAATCCAATAAACTTTAAACAATACAGAGTGACAAAAATATTTTTACAAATATTTTGGAAGTTGAAACTAAATGGCAGTGACATGTATAGAAAAAAGTTGTACAGAATGATGACCCTGATAATATATTTCAAGATCATCAAAATCAGTAACAAAATCAGTAAATAGGTACAAAATCTTTAAAGTAAATAACAAATGTTTTATAACGAATTTTACAGAGGAACACAAGTAGAAGTGAAAAACAAGAAAGGAAATAGTCCATTATGGTTAGCGGCGAATGGTGGGCATTTGAATGTTGTTGATTTATTGTATCATGCTGGAGCAGATATCGATTCGCAAGATAATCGAAAGGTATGTGAGAAATCAAAAGTATGTTAAATACAACGAAATCGAATTTTGTTCTTTCTTTACTTTTTTTATTCTTAGATATGCTCGTGTACTTACAAATATTCACACATGGATGTATTTTCAATTGCAGGTTTCTTGTTTAATGGCCGCTTTTCGTAAGGGACATATTAAAGTTGTTAAATGGATGGTAAATCACGTTACCCAATTTCCAAGTGATCAAGAAATGACGAGGTATATAGCTACCATCAATGACAAGGATCTTTTAGAAAAATGTCAGGAATGTGTAAAAGTTATTCGAGCAGCAAAAGAGACTCAAGCAGCGAAAGCAAACAAAAACGCAACGATTTTATTGGAAGAGCTTGATATGGAAAAAACGAGAGAGGAATCGAAAAAAGCTGCGGCTGCTCGTAGAAGAGAACGAAAGAAAAAAAAGAAGCTTGAAAAGAAAGAAGAGAAACGAAAATTGCATGAAGAATATAAGAAAAATGAAACAAACTACGAAGATAAAGAGGAAAATGGCAAAAAATCTGGGGATGAGGAGTGCGATAGAGCGGATGATAGTGAACATGAAACCGGTGACAGTTGTGAAAGAATGGACAGTATGCCATCGCCAGTTAACAGAAGTCCAGAAGATCCTTATCGAGAGGAAGGCGATAGCGGAATCGATGCGAATAGTCAAGGTAGCTGTAGTAGTAACGACGTTAAAGCTAGAGAGAAAAAAAAAGAGAAAAAGAAAAAGAAGACTAATAGTCCAACCAACAATGAAAAAGACACGTCTCCTCAAAGATCTCCAAAGTCTGTTGTTACGCAAGGCACTACTTTGTCGCAAAATTCTATTACACCTACAAAATCCCAAAATAATACAACCGAAAAGTAAGTTGGAAAAATTGCGATATATGAAAGATACAATTTATAAGATACTTTTTATAAGTGAATCAGTCAAGTTTTTCAGTGTTGATCTCACAAATGATATTACTTTTTCAGAAGAATTATGATCAGTGTTTCTAATACGGTATCCGTATCCACAACTTCTGCTACAATGAGTTCTAGGTCTTCGACTGTGAACTGTGGTGAACGTAAGTTGAAAGGTCAACTAGTATTTGAATCATCGAGACATCCTGCTGATAGAGAAGACTTTGAAGCAACCGGCAATGAGACGTATATGCCTGGTAAGGGCAAGAAATCTTATAGTAATCAATATGATGGCGACGCCTTGAATACTTCCACAAAGATAAGCAACACAACCAGTCCTAAGCAAGGTGGCAAGCGCGAAGAAGGCTGGAAAGAGGTTGTACGAAAGTAAGAAGCACGATTTATGTTATTGACTGTCGTTGCATTATTATTATAACTATTGCTGTTGTTATGTCGTGGTATAATTATTAAATGAGAATCTGATGTAACTTCTGATATAGGGGACAGTCTGATGATTCCGGAAGATTTATGAATTCACCATTCCGTTCGAAAAAAGTATCTGTTCCGCCAAATGCTATTAGTCGAGTTATTGGAAGAGGTGGAAGTAATATAAATGCTATTAGAGGCGCAACAGGAGCACATATTGAAGTCGAAAAACAAAGCAAATGCCAAGGCGAACGAATCATTACCATTAAGTATGCGACATCTACTATTTATTTTTCTCTAGAAATCAAGAAACGTAATAATTCATTTCTTCTTAAAATGTTTTCTCAATCAGAGGCTCGTCTGATGCGACAAAACAGGCTCATACATTAATAGCTGCTCTCATTAAAGATCCAGATGTTGATATATTGCAAATGCTTCCAAAATCGAAACTCACGGTGGTTACGACTTCTTCTTGGGATAAAACTGTATCTACTGTAGCTGTAAGACCATCGAATTATTATACCAATAAAATTGTAGCTTTTGTAGTTGACTTTGTAATTTGTAGTCGATTCGTTTCCTAATTTGTTCTGTATATTTTCATTTTAGTCGAGTAAAGCAAAGTTGGGTCCTGTAAATAAACCTCCAAGTCTAACATCTAGTTCCAGTAGTACGCAAATTAATAAATCTAGTTACACATCCGGAGTTTCTACAGTTAATCAATTGATTCCACTTCGATCATCATCCACCATTAAACTCGCTGGACCATTTCCGACACCTTTACCACGCGCGACAGCACCTCGACTTGTGGCTGCAGGTAATAACAAGTTGCATCTTTTTGCACTAATTTGAGTCCATGTCCATACTTGTACAAAAATTACTTGTACATATTACTTGTACAAAAAGGATCAAATAACCTCGCAGTTAAAACAACGTTCAGTTAATTAACAAACATTGAACATTTCGTTTCTTGCTTGCATATGTGTGTGTAGCTGAAAAGCGAGCACAAGCTGTAGCCGCCCAAATGGCTTCTTCATCGAACACGAAGACAACAATGTCATATACGAGTGCAATTATGACTGCTGGACGAGCAACAAAGATTGTAACGACGAGTACCACACAAACGTTTGCAGCGAAATTATCTGAAATCACTGCCTCAACGCATACATCTACTACCGTCATGCAGTCGACTCATACTACGGTAAACAAGCAAAAATCGTTGCAAGCAAATACAGTGACTGTTGTATCAGCTACAGCCGCGGCAATGGCTCAGACTTCGTCTCAACAGTCTGCAATCAATACATCGCCAAAACACTGCCGACCACTGCCTACTTTATCTGCTCCGCCAACTATGGTCTCCCATTATTCCGGAAAGTCTACTTATTCTCCCGGTTCAAACGCAGCAGTATCACCGGCAACGAGCACTGTGGCATACTGCTCAGAAAGTACGGTTACTTCAACTTGTTCAAACTCCTCGATACGAGTCAGTCCGTCGCCTCCGATATCATCGCAGTGTCAACAACAATTACAACAGCAACAACAGCAATCACGTAGTCCACCACCTGTTGCATCGGTAATTCAAGAGCAACAACAGCAGCAACAGCAACAACAGCAGCAGCAGCAGCAACAACAGCAGCAGCAGCAGCAGCAACAACAACAACAACAACAACATACAAATAATACGCCCCTCGAATATTCGCTGTTCAACGACACCTTTACGAAGGTTACACAACAATCGATGTGGGGTGGTCGGGAAAACGAATCTCAGAAGGGTATGAATTTCGCGACCGTAGCTGGAGGTGGTGGAGTGTCAGTAAACATTTCGGGTTCATCATCGTCTAAATTCATCGACAGTGTACCTCCTCAGGTTAGTATCTGCAATAAATAAAATGAGCAATAATCTAAGCCATCTTTTTTTCGATTACAAATTCGAGCGAATGCAAACGTTGTTTTAACAGTTGCCACCTATTTTTTTTTTTTTTTTTTTGTTGTAGGTGGATGCTTCGAAAGCTCCTGGATACCGAGGGACAACTATGTGTTCTCCCGTTTCGAGTAAATCTAACAATACAACCAACACGAACGCGACTAGCATAGGAAGTGGTGGTGTATCGTCGAATGCCAGCCATAATCCTATTCAACTACCGCAGTTTCAATCGTCCGGAAATTACAGTGAACATCCTCTTTCAAACAAACCACCAGGTAGCTTGGCTGTAGCACGACCGGTGATTCCTCAACAGAATATGGAAATGGGAGCAGCTATGGGAGCTCAATTCAGTAGGCCAGTATTTCAAGGGGAATTGACGGGAACTCGTAATTCGACTACCCATCAGCCGCACGTGATAGTTTCTACATCGCAACCAACGTTGGACGTTAGTTTATTTAAAGGGAATAGCATTGGCTATGAGCATCCAAACGTAAATTCAAGTTTACTAAAGATGGTACCGAACGAAGGGCAGGGCCATCCGCTTTTACCTTTTCATCCGCATATGCAGAATTTTACACAAACAATAGCACCATCTGCTTCAGTGAACACAACCGTCAGTATGTCCAGATTAAACCCCAGAGCGCCTGATTTTTCTAGTTCGTTACATTTGAATAGCAAGCCTCAAGTGACAATGTTTAACGCGGGTTCGGCGGCGGCGGGGATGCATCCGAATATGTTCGCCACTGTACCGCCACCTCCTCCGTCCGCGATTCAGTCCAACAACCTAGCAATGCTTGGGAATTTTCCTTTAGGAAAATATCAGGCACCATCTCGAGCCACTCCCGGCAATACTGGAATCTCGACTAACGGGCAGACACGTTGGCCGTTTGCTCCGCCGCACAATAACTACCCGCCTCATCAAGATCCAATGATAGGCCAGATTGGTTTCTCCAATCACTTGGCGAACATAACCGCACAACCTGGAAGCATCGATTTGATTACAAGTCTCGAGAATGGCGGTTCACCTGCTATATCACCTTCTTCACCGGCGCAAGTAGCGCAAGAGATGAATCAGCTGAAGATCGAAGATCGTAAGGTACCGCGACCGATCGGTACGGAAAGAGCCTGGAAGAATTATGCAACAGCTGGCATGGGACCCGGTGGTGATGCCGATTCCATCAATTGGATGTTGAATAACGAAAAGCTCGTCGGGTCTTGGGCAAGTTTAGCACCTGGCATAGATCGACATCAAATGTTTCGATCTAATGCTACTTACAACCGTATATCGAACGTTGATGCTGAACTCCATCATATGATGGAATCTTCATTTCAGGTAAATCATCCTTGTCACGTTTCCCGTTTCTTAATTTTTCTTCTTTTATATTTCATTTATATAATTCATTTAAAATCACATAGAGCTTGCCCCTAAAAATGTTTTCAATGTGTATACGTGATAATATTGATATTGATCTATGTGCATACTTTGCATATTCAACTTTAGATTTTTAATATGATTTACACGCAGGGTCATGTTGATACTCAGCAACAACCTTTTCCTAACGGGAACGCGACGACTTTGCCTCTTATGCCAGGATTAACATTACTACCGGGACAGTTTGGAACACCTACATTGACAGAAATTCCTCCAAACGAAGCAAATAAAATAGATGCACCAGCATGGGGAATACCAGATACTGTGCAAGACAAGCAACATCCGGTACGTTATAATAAGCTATACAAACAGCTACAGCGTAATTGATATCTGAATTAAAATTAAAAAAATGAATGATGTTTCTCGAAGAAAAATTGTTAATGATTGTGCACCTATTTTTATTGTTCATTAAATCGTAGATATTCAAATGTAATTACATAAGTTACGACATGTATTTATATCATGTTCTTATCATATTCTTTCTTGATTTCGTTGTATAAGATATTCTGCAAATCAGATTTTCTATATGCAAAAATAATTCGAAAAATGAAAGAATAAAATTTTTTCATTTAGTTCTTTACGTCTAGAACCAAGTTATATATGATATTTTTATTAAATTTTTGTGTCATTAAATGAGTGGTGACATATACTGTAAACATATAAAAGAGGAAAAGAAATTTTCTAACAATTTAATGTAGAAGTACAGCCTCGTTTATATGATTCTCTATTTTTTGAATAATATCCAGAAGTTGTATCATCATAGTGTTAGCCAATAGAAAACTGGATTTTCTAATTGCTAGTAGACATTCTGTTCTAATAATATAATATTTGAATATTATATTATATTAAGATATTCGAAAAATAGAGGTTCACAAGGAAGGTTGCATTATGTTTAAAATAGTAAATTAAAAAAAAAAAAAATAAGACGTAATACTACATAAAATAAGAATATTACACAGATGTTCATTACGTTTTCCTTTGCAAGATGTTCTTTTTGAACATTATGAGAAATTGTTGAAGTAATATAAGCGTTTATATAAAGCGGTAGTCTTAAATTCCATCAAAATACAAGGGGCTAAGGCTCCATTTTTGAAAAAATTGAATTTGGAAACTTATCCATTATGTTTAAATTTTAGACTGATCAGAATAATTATACTATTTGTGAAAATAATTTTTTTAGCAGATGCTTCGTTTTCAAGAAAATTAAATGTAAAAATTTATCAGGTACATATGAACGTGCGAACCTGTTATATTGAAACACTATTCTGAAAATGAGATCTTAAACAGACAAATCCTTTTATTCTACATTTTTTATTTATTTTCGTAGGAAAATGTCTATTTCATTAACTAAATTCAAATATAGCTATAAATTTGCAGAATGGCCCCTTCTAAATCTAATTTTTCAAATTGGCAATTTTTTCAAAAATGAAAGATAATGAAAAAATTTTACTTCTTTTCGATTCTTGCATGTAGAGCCATTTTCTAATCGGTTCTTTATGATTTTACGGGGCATAGTGTATATCAACATTCCAAACATTATGCAATAATTAACTTATAAAACTTATTTTTCTCCATGTCTCTTTTTTTTATTTATGATATCTTTCCATTGTATCTCCTATCATTTCTTCTTTACTTCTTTATATATTTATAAATTTTATACTTTATATATTATTTCTATCTTCTTTACTTCTTTATATATTTATACAGTGGATAAATAATTTGATTTCAGGCATGGAATAAATGGACCCATTAAAAAGAAAGAAAAAAAAACAGAAAGGAGAAGAAATTCTTACCTGGATGATATAAAATAAAACCTGGAATTCGAAGTAGTAAATAGATGTAACTGGAATACGAAGCATTGTTTTTAGATACTTGAATTGCATTACTATCCTAATTGTATCCATTACAACACAGATTCGAATTATTTGTCATGTTAGGTAATAAGGCGAGTAAATCCTTACAACTTATTACTGTTTGTCTAGTATAATCATGCAATACAAATAATTATTGAATACGATACGGAAAATGTTGAAGAAAAAAAGAAGAAGAAAAAGATAGTCAAATGAAATCGAAACAGACTAACAAAAGATGTTTGTTACTTGTTTCTAATTTCGTTTCTGATCGTATTTCGACCACGTTACTTCTGTACTCCAGGATCATTCTCAAATTTTTGTCACGATCGAGAGATATATCGAGAACAGTTTACGATCTTCCTATGCTGATCGTTACCGCGTGGTGGATCGATTTGTCCAAGTTTACGAGACTCAAACTTTACGATATTTGATAGACATTCGTCATAATAAATTCAGATACGCATACGATAATTACATCAGCTTTCGCTTCATCCGTAGCAGTTCTCGAATTAAAACCTTTTATCCTTTTCTGTTCCTTGGATTTCATGTATCGAATTAAAAAGAAAAAAAAGCTTCATTTCAAGTGTCCTACATGCGTGCGAAAATAAAGGCTTCGATTTGCCACAGGGATAGCCGAATAATATTATGTTAATTAAATGATACATATTAATAACAATAATAATATTATTATTGTCGTATCAAAATGAGTTATTTTTGTCTTTGGTTGGGTAATACATACTATGGTATCAAAGAAAACAACCGAAGAAGAGGAAACGAAAAACAGAGAAATTACTTTCACCACTATACGATACAATTTTCCTTTTCTTTTCTTCTCTATTACTATTATTCTCTACTACTCGTATTAAATCGCTATGTCTCTTTCTCTCTTCCTCCTCCCTTTCTTTTAATCCATTTATTTTCTTTTTCTTTTCCTTTGAACATTCCTGCCTACAATTATCACCTAGTATTGAAAAGAGAAAAAAAGAAAAGGAAAAGGATAAGCAAACCGAATGAAATATTATATGAAACGTGTAATTTGCAAAGCACTTTTATGATTACTAACAGTAATCACGCACCGGAAGTTCCGTTCTGTGCGTCGACGTACATACGTATATAAATACGATCACTACTTTTGCATTTTGTCTCATTTCTCTCTTTATTCTTTCTTCCTAATCTTTTGTTTTTTTTTTTTTTATTTTTTATTTATTTATTAAAGTAAAAACCACAGCCAATTACATCGGTAAATGATTGCTGATGAGACCACGCGAGACCATTTATGTTGAAGTGTGTAATAACACAGGAATATGGAGAGAGATGAGAGAAAAGTCAGGAAGAAGGTTTAAAAAAAAGGAAAAAAGAAGAAAACGATGATGAAGTGTACAGATGAGAAGTGTAAATTAATTATCCGAGTGGAACAATAGGCAAACAAGGCATGACGTCTCGAAAATTCAATCATTCAATTAGGACTCCCCGTACATGCAGGAAACGAAACGTAGGAGATATGATAAAAGAGAAAGAAACAATGCGAAGAAAGATATGATACACTGATGATACACGAGTTAATATACACTGTAATGATACTACATGGAATATTATGTATAACGAATCTTATTCTGATTCTGATGAATGAATACCGTTGATTACGTTAAGCCGGGCAGTGGGGCCGCCGTAAATATAACTTCATGCATCCCTAGGAACAGTGCTATTATAATACTATTATTGCTGTGGTGGTAATAATGTTTATTATTATATTATGGTTATTATAACATATAACGTAATTATAGGAAATGGAAGATAAATAGTAAAACGTCATCTGCTGTTTCGGCTGAAACTAGTACGATGTAATAAGTATTCTACTAGCTGAACACTCGATAATACATAATAAGAAATGTTCATTTTAATTGAACATTTGGAAAATCTTTCTTGACGGGGATTTCAACAAGTGTTCAATATACATAGCGATGATATCGTAATTGAAACGGTACCCCTACACATATACACACACAGGCGCGTAAGTTTCAATGGAAAGAAGCTCGTGGAAATTGTTGCGAGAGCTTTTCGGCTCTATTGATTCCAGGGAGCGCTTCAGTTATTGTCTAAGATATATTGTTATAATAATTTAAAGCCTATTTTCAAATTTGATTTATGATAATTGCAATATACGACACAAAACTATTATATGATATACAACAATAAAGTAAATAAATGAGTAAAATAAGTAAAATAAATAAATATATATAAATAAATGAATAAACGAACGAATAAACAAACAGATATAAGCAAGCGAACAGATAATTAGAATTAACACCTTGCCTGCTGTATATATTTATTATTCTCCAATTGTTGATCGATCGATGAAATCCAATTTCACACGTGTTTTATTCTCTTTAACAATATCGTTCGGTTCTTTTCTCGTATATGTTCAACTATATCCGGTAAAAAAAAAAAAAATTTTTTTTAAACTAAATACATAAAAATAAATAATATAATAACAACAACAACAATAATAATACTCTAATGATAAATTCGATTTTTGAAGATTGTTACTGTCTCTTTTAATTAATATGCGAGTTTTTATTGACCTTGCATATATTCTATACCATATCTTATCATGTGCTTCAATTTCCTCGTGAAAATTTCATTCTTTCTTAATATTCAATATTCTAATGAGAAGAAGAGAAACAACCAAGGCGACGACGCAACAACAACAGCAACAACAACAATTTCCAATTCAAGATCGATTGATTGCTAAGGGATGAAAATATTGTGTAAAGATTAACGAGTCATTCTGTTATCATAAAAAAGTGTTTAATTTAGAAGATAAGCTTACATTAATAATACCAAAGAAACAGAAAACTTATAACGTTTGAAATATAGAGAACATTTCTATAACATTCATTATATTAAATAACAAATTATAAAAAACTCCAAAGCTTTTGCAGCTCGCGTTCTTTCGTGCCGGCTAAACGATGAGCAATTCTCAAGAACGTTCGATATTTTGTAATTATTTATTTTTAATATATAAATGGAATAATAACGATAGTTGCTAATAATAGTAGTAGCTGATTTTACAATAGTGGTTTTGATCTTACATTTAAAGTTTAAGAGAAAAAAGAAAAAGGTATATTAGAGAATTCATTGTTTAGCCGAAACGATTGTGGCTCACTATTCTCATCATATAGTAAAAATAATAAATATTTACACGTGACACATTTATACAAAAAATCAGTACGAAGAAAAAAAAAAAAGAAGTTAGCATGATTGTCGAATCTTTGCGATTATTCTCTCTGAACTGATGACACATGCAACGCATTTGAAGAGCATTATAATACATAAATGCATTACATCCTTTTTTACATTTGTTCCTATTATTATCTTTTCCTCCTTTTGAACGGCCGAAATTTATAAGGAAATAAATAATAATATTAAGAAACATAATCTTGATGATCAAAGACAAAACAAACCATATAGGAGTGATTAGCATTATTTACTTGAGAGAGATACAACGCAATCATGTTTCTAGTCGATTAACACAGAGAGAGAGGAATCAAGTTTCAAAAATTTTTATGGAAAATTTCCAGTGTTGATTAAAATTAATTTCCTATAGGTATTTTACGTGTTACGTACATTCATATATACACCGTTTTGTGCATTCACATGTTGCGTACATGTGAAGTGTATGCATACTGCGTGCCAGTATACGTATAATGTATGTATCTTAATCTTTTTTTTTATTTATACGTTTCTGTACCTGTGCCTGCTTTTTATCTATCCTATCTATTTGCCTGCATATCTATCTCTTCATCTATCTTTATATTTGCCTATATGCGTACCTACTTGTCTACCTAATCATATCTTACCTAATGATGTATTTTATTTACTTTTCATCACTTATCTACCTGTATATTTGTCTATTGTGAATTTCAAATAAATAAAGAATCCCTAATTCACACTTCTTGCGCATCCCGATTTAGAAAGTAATATTGATAAATAAAGCTATTTGTACATAGCGGAAGATATATTCTATAAATTTTATATAAAACTGACTACACTTTCGCGAGGAATTAAATTTCTCTCTCTCCTTCTCTCTTTCAAATTAAATCATTCAGGACGTTTCAACCAACGCTCAATGCTCGAACAATGTCTCCAGTTTACATCTTCATGCGTTTCGCTAATAGAAAATAAAACTTCATGCAACACATCAAATGTGTATTTAACGAATCATGAATTAATCCTTGGTGGTCTAATAATCTCATTTGTTTACTATTTGTGGCCGCCGACGTGTATTCGTTCTTCATCCATCTCATTCTCACGTTATTTGTATACATATACATGT